CAAAAGTTATAATAGGCGAACGGCTGTTTGCGTGTTTCTGCACAATAATCAAACAGCCAGATTCGACTGTTCGACACGTACAAAAAGGAGCGTAATGTCAGTAACTGCTGGGATTGGTGGGGTGGATCGCCTCGTTGTTTGTTTCACTTTCATGATCCATGTCATTTTTTACATCCCTCTTGTCATGGATCTTACGGTAAGGAGCTGACCTACGCCGTTAGTCAGAAATGTAATTATTTAGTGCTATCGTCCTCAGCCACGTTAAAAGTACAGCGTTTAGTCTCCTGTTTCATTTTTTCGCACAGTGGTGTTCGTTTATTTACTTTTAAAAAATTAAAAGCTAGTGATCCGGCCGGAGTTCGAACTGACGAACTATCCATTGTCAGTTCAACGCTATGCCGGCTGAGAACCTCAGTTTGTTACGTAAAGAATTCCTTTTTCTGTATTAGTGTTTCCTTTTATATATGGGGATCTGCTGGCTAAAAGTTTTATTTGTGGAAGTGCTTTAGCAGCTTAAAAACAGAAGTTACCACCCGTATAGGCTCCACTTTAGTTCTCCAGATCTATGAGCAGCGTTGCCACTTCGAACAGATGCTCAATTAATGGACTTTCATGTTTCATTTCTCACCGACTGGATGGCTCGGTCGTTGGAGTGCCGAATCCATGCTCTAAATAGCACGGATTAGAGTCCCTAAAACCTAAAATCTTCTTTCATTGTTTTGAAGTAAAGCTAGATAAATAAGTATATCATTATGTAAAAACGAGGTAGGTTACTGCATGCTCTGATGATACCGATGACAACGAATCAAAGTTAAATACAATAGCATAAGTTTTGTTCTTACTGACATACACTCTAGTCCCTCCTACTGTAGAAAGAATCTTATTTGCGATATCAAATTCCCCAAACAATCAGTAACAGGCAGATTTTTCAATATAGTGGTATAGTAAGGCGAAAAGCAGAAAACATGCGCGAATGGTCAGCGGGCTGACGTTTACTTGCCACTGAAAGAGCAACAGGATGCTAGGTGAACCATAGTGTGCAGAAAAAACTAGTCGGCAATCGGTGCTTCAGCGTCATTACTGCTGTTCTATTTATTTGCTTAGTTCCGCAGTTTTTATTAGACATTTTTCTTATTCAGAGCGGATCTTCCGCGTTTGCAATTTATAGCTTATTCGGTGTAATTTATGTACTGTCTTTAGGTGTAAATCCCCTTCATGTCAGAGGAAGTCG